TTGGTTGGCGGAAGCTTTCGATATGGGCACGATAACGAGACTATTCGTCTGCGTTTCCGCTTCAAACCAAGGTATCTTGACAAAACCGCAATCGATTACTGCACATTACAAAGTTCCGATTACATAATGTCGTCAAATCAAACGTTGAGACGGACAAAAAGTACACTAATATACCATAGGTAACATACCGTAAACGATATTTGGAATGGTAATAGACGTTTCCGCGATATTTGTCGCTACGATAACTTTGCGAGTGTCTTTAGCGGCCCTCCAAAATACCTTAAGCTGTTCCGCATTCGGAAGCGATCCGTACATCGGCAAAGGAAGCAATTTCTCTAAAAATAATTTATTCAACTTAAAATTTTAAATTTCTTTAAAAAATATTAAATATATTAAAGGTTATTATAATATACGTATAATAACCACCCAAGGTTACAATAATGTTGCTAAAACTTTTATCTGAAACATTTTTTGATAAAAGGCATAGGAAAAAAGATATTTGCGATAGGACATTAAAATGGCCTACCCTCTGTACTGTGTGTGTGTGTGTGTGTCGCGCGTTTAGGAGAGAATTAAGGATTAATGGAACAATTTATGAATTGAGTCTTTTTCTCGAAATTTTTCTATTTAAAAAATCCCAAGTACTCTCTGCTCTCTATTTTTTAGAAACTCCTCGATTATCTTACTCACGTTTGTCATCCTTTATGAGCTTTGCGTGTTCCGATAAAAGAGATACGGCTTGATCGACTTCATCAAGTCCTGTGAGGAACGCTAGGATATCACCCGATTCTTCCGAATCATGTATTTTTAGAGCTGTGTCTACTACACCATTAACATAATTCGCCACCGATTCTGCAACGCAATACAATCTTAATTAAACAGTGAGAGTTATAATTTAAACAGTCACGAACATGACTCTGTGGAATGTGTGTACCTTTGAGAAAAAATACATCCACCGGATACAATCGCCCCTCGACGCTCATGATAACCGCGCTATTTTTACTCGAGTCTTTCGTCGTATTTACGTTAAAGAAATCTCGAAGTTCCTCCGCGTCAACCGTCGCTGACGATACGATAATTCTCAAACTCTTCCGTTTCTGCAAACGTTTATGAGATGACGTCAATTTATTATGTTCCGTGCGAGGAAAGTTATGTTTGTTATAACATCAGTAAATTTACCCTGATTATTTTTTTCAGCAGCCCCATTATGATATCAGTCAAGAGGGTTCTCTCGTGCACTTCATCCAGGATAATGACCGAGTAGCTTGTTAATAACGGATCTCTCATTAATTCTCTTAGGAGAATACCCTCTGTCATGTACTACAAAGGCAATTTATATATTAGTCTTCGTAACGAAGTAATACACATGTATACGTATTAATATAAAAAAAAAAATATATATATATATATATATAGAAAAATACTGACATTATTTCTTATCTCATTATGATGTAACAATAGAAAAGTACCATTAATGATGTTTCATAATGTAAAATTAGATAATATTTTGAATACAAGTTGCGTTTTGTGTTCTATTTATCTTCTATTTACAGTGTTGTACCTTAATCCTAGTTGTTTCATCAGTGTAATCATCGAAGCGTATGCAATAACCGACGGTGGTCCCTAAAATACAATTACGTTCGTCGGCCACGCGATTTGCCAGAGAAGTAACCGCGACTCTTCTCGGCTCCGTAATGCCGATCTTTTTCCCATCTGCACACCATCCTGCTTCAAGAAGATACTGAAAAGTAAAAAACTTGGTTTATATGCATAATATCATATTAATTTGTTTCAAAACATATTAGATTTTACTGTGTGTTATGTTACAGCATAGAAAATTGAATTCAATAACAAGTAATATAATATATTATAGGATTGTATATGTGATAAATACAGTGCTATAATAAATGAACACAAATTATAGAAATCAAAGCCTTAAATGGTCTAGCTGGATCTTAAATGCTTGCATGATTCTTGTGTGAATTTATATACTACATATGTAATCCTTAGAAACGCGCGCCGAAATGATTTTTCGGTTTTGAAACGCTAACTCTACTAAACTACCGCAGTAATATCACGAGTTAAATTGACTAGCAATTTAACAAATTTTTCATGCTTATTCGCATCTTCGAAACAATCTTAATAATATTGAATGAATATATTAAATCTGTAAATAATCAATTCTTAATGCGAAAAATATTACCTCGGCCGGGAGTCGGACCCGGATCTCTTGCATTCCGTGCGAGAGTCCTAAGCCTTTAGATTACCGAGGCAACGGAATCCTCTCGCACGGAATGCAAGAGATCCGGGTCCGACTCCCGGCCGAAGTAATACTAAGAATAATAGTTTACATACATATGTATATGTGTGTGTGAATAAATTAATATTTGTTATTATATAATTTGTAGACAGTAAAAGTTTTTATATAATTTTGAAAAATATTACACTAAAGGATTTATTTTTGAGTGGAAAATAATAAAACAAATGGAAAATTATGTCAGAGATTAATTTATATAAAAATATTTTATTGCATATTTCCATTATAAAAATAATACAAGATTCTCTCTCTCTCTCTCTCTCTCTCTCTCTCTCTCTCTCTCTCTCTCTCT